AGGGTCCCTTTTAATCTATGTTATTCCCCAGAGCTCTTCATAACTCAGTGGAGACCTGAATGGTTTAAAAGATCAGTCTGGTCAGCTGAAAAGAATTTGCCCTTAGGGTAGCCCACACACAGTCCAGAAGTTACCATCATGTCAGGATTTTGGTGCATGTTAGGTAAGGAGAAGGCTTACTCTTTCTGTAACAAGCCTCTTAGGCCAATACCCTCAGTTTCTTCTTCTTGCTTATGACCCTTAACTTGTCTTTTGCTGTATTATAATTCGGTTCTGCATATACTTTTCTCTTTATTCCTTCTGTTGATGAATCACCTCTTCAGAGTCTCCAGGACTACTCACTTGAGTAAAATTTGTAGGACATGATTGAGGTTTTTTTCCAGGATACCTTTTGGCCAAAATCCAAAATGTCTTTACATCAGCAATTAAATTTTCATTTGTATCTGTACCTCACCAAGTAAATGGGACCCCCATCCTGACTGTGATATTTCACTACATATGCAAAATAAATGATAGACATTAATACTAATGATCCTTTTGTCTCAAACATTTAGACTTTACATCTACACAGTCACCTCACTTAATTTTAAAGATGACAACAATATTGGCACTTGATTTACTTTTAGCAAAATTTGATAGTGCTCAATTAGCCTTTTGCTCTAATTAATTTTTGGTGCTCATCAGTATTGCCCTCTAATTTACCATGAGTACCTTATGAGAAAGTAGGTTAGGAGGAGGCATACCCTAACAGCTTTTTTTTCATTCTTCAGCCCTTAGATCATTTGAATCTAAAGGAGAAGGAATCCATTTGTAATTAAATCTGGCCAAGGATGTCAAGGAAAAAAAGGAGGGCTTCTTCAAATACATCAATAACAAAAGGAAAACAGAGGATTATGTGGGGCCATAACTAAGTAGATCCTGATAAAAAAGGACACAGAGAAAGGAGATTTACTGAATGCCTTCTTTTCATTGGTCTTCACCGATAAAACCAGCCTCAGGAATCTCTGATCCAGGAGATCAGGGTAAAGGAATCTTGGAAGAAAGACTCCCTTGGGCATGGGGTATTGGGTTAGAGAACTACTAGGCAAATGTGACATCCACAGATCCATGGGACCTGATAGGATGCATCCACAAGAGCTGGGAGAGCTGACAGACACCGTAGCAAGGCCACTCATGATCATCTTCGAAAGGTTGTGGTGATCAGGAGAGGTGCCTGAGGATTGGAAGAAAGCAAATATTACCCAGGTCTCCAAAAAGGGCAAGCAGGAGAACACAGGGAACTGTCAATCCTACCTTGATCTCTGGAAAGGTGATGGAATACCTCATTCTGGAGGCCATCTCTGTTAACATGAATGGCAAAAAGGTGATTTTTGCGAGGATTAGGATTAATCCAGATCAGGATTAATCAGCATGGATTCACTAAAGGTAAATCATGTTTGACCAACATGATTGCCTTCTATGACGAAAAAACTATCTGCATGGATGAGAGAAGAGCAGTGAATATTGTCTACCTCTACTTCAGCAAGGCTTTTGACACTGCCTCTCACATCATCTTCATACGCAAACTCAGTAAGTGCAGACTGGATGAATGGAAAGTGAGGTAGATTGAGAACTGGCTGAACAGCAGATCCCAGAAGGTCATAATCAGTGACACAGGGTCTAGTTGGAGGCCTGTCACTAGTGGTGTCCCACAAAGTTCAATACTGGGCCCAGTATTTAACTTATTCATCAGTAAGTTAGATGAAGGGGCAGATGCTGCCTCAGAAAGTTCACTGATGACACAAAGCTGGGAGGAGTGGCTGATACCCCAGAGGGCTCTGCAGCCCTTCAGGAGAACCTCAACAGGTTGGAGAGATGGGCAAAGGAGAACCGTCTGAAGTTCGACAAAAGCATGAGCATCAGGAATAGCATTGCCAGCAGGTTGAGGGAGGTGGTCCTGCCTCTCTACTCAGCCCTGGTGAGGCCACGTTCTGGAATACTGTGTCCAGTTCTGGGCTCCTCAGTACAAGAAAGATGTGGAGCTCCTGGAGTCAGTCCAGTGGAGGGCAATAAGGATGATTAAGGGACTGAAGCATCTCTCCTATCAGGAAGGGCTGAGAGAGCTGGGCCTGTTCTACCTTGAGAAGAGATGACTGAGAGAGGACCTCATCAACGTACGTAAGTATCTGAAGGGAGGGTGTCAAGAAGATGGAGCCAGGTTCTTCTCTGTAGTACCAAGCAATAGGACAAGAGGCAATGGTCAGAAACTGATGCACAGAAAGTGTCACCTAAAAAGGTGAGTACTCACAAAATTTCTGAAGAAGCTTCTGAGCAGCTCTTTTACGTACCTGGACTATACAGGCAGGGTTAACTCCAGAAGCCTTTAGAGGCCACCTCCTTTCATGAAGAGAACAGAGGTAATCACAGGCCAAGGCAAAACCCACAATAAAAAATGAGCCATGCTGTGTTTGATCATCGTCAGGCTATTAATTTCTCGGCCACTGCAAATGCCATCTTTCTCATTAGTTATTTAGAAAGCCAGAACAACACTCTCTTGGTCTCATTGTTGTTTCCCTGCATATTTTGTGCTGTCATACAAACTCTCATTTTTATTTCAGTTTCTCTCAAAAGTGTGTGAGAAGGTACATCTACCTAATTCTAAACAAAATTCCAGATGCACAGGTTTTTTTGCTTTAGCTTTTTTTCTGTAAACTACCAGTGACATAAGAAACATGACTTAAACATCAGACTTAAGACAGCCTCATAGAAGTTAGAAATAATCTTTCTTGATCAGTAAACTCACTAAAATGATTTGGTATATCTCTGACATTATTCATATAAAGTAATTTTTAGTGTCACTACTCTAACAATTAAAAAAAAAATAGCATGTTTAAGTCCCAGGAAAAAAACACATCAGATTCTATTAATTTCAATGTACATGTTAATCTATTTTCATAGCTCTAATAAATACAATGTATCAAGATGCTGCTTTTATTTACCCATTTTAGTAGTTTTAATGTTAATTCTCTTTCTTTACACCATTAGTACACTTCTGAAATTTGTATTTAATAGAAACATAAACATCTTTATTTTGAACACAAGCTTTTGAAGTATTCATTATCAACCTGCTGGAAAATTTGAATTCATTTTATATTGATATAATCTGAAAAATTTTGTTCCTTAAAATTAACATAATTATTCATTATTAATAATTGAGACTAAATCTATTTTTCTTTTTATTGAGGATGAATTATTTCTGTTTGTTATAATGTTTAAAAGATTGCTTTTACCTAATATCTATTGCATTTAATAAATATTTTTCATCAAAAAAGTAGATCAGCCAGGTATTGGTACTGTCTACCTGCACAGTCTGGTCCATTACAGTGCGTGGTTTGTGACTGTTCGAGCACCGAAAGAGATAAGTTCATATCTACAGCGAAAATCATGGTTATCTATATCATCAGAAATTGCTGCTTGCTGTTGCTTAACCAGGTTCCAATCCCTGTACAACTATGCTTGTTATCTTCCTCCTGAAAAAGAAAGACACCTACTAGACCCATACTTTCTTTTGTGTATTTAAACATGCATCAAGATCAATGTCTGGAGAACTCTTGCCAAGTGCTGGAAATAAATCTCTGGATTTATTGAAGAGCTGTCTTAAAAAGGAAAGAGAAGCTCTAGGCACTGGAATTTGAATTTCCCTGAGTTCCTGTGGATAAGGCAAAATTCTTTAAAAATGAGATTAATTTATCAATTGAACAAGTTACAATGAATGTGGTGGATTTTGCTGTACCAGGTTGCTCAAAGCCTTATCCAACCTGTCCTTGAACAGTTCTAGGGATGGGGTATTCACAACTTCTCTGGCCAACTTGTTCTAGTGGCTCACCTACCTGATATTAAAGAATTTAATAGAAAGAATTAAAGAATATTAAAGTCTTTCCATAGTTTCCAGGATGATCCATTCCATAATTTTACCATGCACAGAGGTGAGGCTGACTTGTGGGTAATTCTCAGGGTTCTCCTTTTTATCCTCTTTTAAATAGATGTGATGTTTCCCTTTATTCAGTCACTGGGTAGTTCACCTGACTGTCATGACTTTCAAATATTTCAGAAAACAGCTTAGTGACTACCTATGCCAATTTCTTTAGGACTCTGGGCTGCCTCTCGTTGGATCCCATGGACTTTGTATGGTCAGGTGTCTCAGATAGTCACAAGTCTGATCTTTCCCCATGACATGTGGGATTTCGTTCCCCTAGTCCTTGCCTTGAGATTCAGGGACATGAGAGATATGGGAAGTGCAATTGCCAGTGAAAACTGGGGAAAAAAGTTGCCAGCCTTCTCCATGTCAATTGCCACAAGATTTCCTGTCTCATTTATCAATGGGGTAGAATTTCTCTTGTTCTCCTTTTCTGATTAAGATAATTATGGAAGCCCTTGTTATTATTCATCAAAAAGCTTGACAAATTCTTCCCAAGTCATGTGTCCCTGCTTCCATTGTGTATACATTTCCCTTGTGTTTCAGTTTGACCAGGAGGACCTTGCTGAGGCATGCTGATGTATTTGCTGCCTGATTTCCTGCAAACGGGAAGTGAGAGCTCTTTTGCTCTAAGAAAAATAAAAATGTCTTCTGCTTCTTCATTCTGGAGGGCAATTTCCTGAGGGCTACCAGCTACTAATCCCTTAAAGAACTGAAAGTTTGCTCATTGAAATTTTAATATCTTGACTTTACTTTTTGCCTGGCTTGTATCCCTTGAGATCATATTTTTTCACCAGGGCATGATCACTGCAGCTCCAGCTACCATGAATATGGACCTCTCCTTTAAGTTCCTCTGAGTTGGTGAGCAAAGACTCCAGCAAAACATCTCATCTGGCTGGGCTTTTCAGGATTAGGTTATCCTCAATGTTCTCCAAGAGACTCCTAGGCTGCTTGCAGCTTGGTGTGACAATTTTTCAGCAGATGCCAGATATTGGACCTAGTACAGAATCATGGTGTTAAATTCTGCAGCATGTCGCTTCAAAGAGGATTTTCAGATTCTTCCCATCTAAACCCAAAGATATGAGAACCTCTTAACCATATATTCTCAGCTATTCCAGTTTAATATCTTATATTTAAACTGCAGTAACACTAATCATATTTAAACAAGATGGCAAAGATCAGGAGAGGAGAGGTGATTCAAGAAATGTTCAACTGTCCCTGTAAAACCAGTCAAAAATAATTACTTGTATAGTCAACAACTTATAGACAACTGCCAGAACTGTGGAAATATATCATCTTTCCATGACCTTGACAATATTCAGCATAAGTCTAGAAAGTTTTAATATGTCTGTGACAACATTAGCTCCAGTGTGAATTAGGTTATTAGCCTCCTTAATTTGTATCATGACCAACTGTTTATAAGACCTGTGTTTATTAAGATGGTTGATCAAAAAAACTTTTTTAACAAACATTTTGTGGTTGAATCACAGCAAACCCAAATGCTGTTGTCTTATTTCAAATTTTGTTATGGAAAATTATTTAATTTGTCACTTCAATGATTTATTCCTGAATTAGAGTACTGAATTACTCTACCTGAATGATATGCTTCACCTTCAGCATCCTTTTCTATAAGTCCATTAATATCACTGTATCTAAAAGCATCCATACAGCACATTTACATACCTGTGCCTCCCTGCACAGATTGTAACTAGAGAAACAAAAACATCAGCTGTTTCCAATTGTCCTGTCCCTCTGTAAGCCTTTTACTGGGGTTTAGAATAACGCCAAACCAGAGGTGCCAAGTGCTGAGATGTGTCCCTCACTGAAATATAAACTTCTTTTCTGGAAATAAGCTAAAAGTAAAATATAATAATTGTTAACTTATTGAGGTTACCCAAAATGTTGTCAGGGAAGGCCATGTTTGTGTGTATATCCCTTGTCAGAAATGTATAGTCTCTTGAGAGAGAAGCTGGTCTCTAAATGAGTAATAATGACTCAAACATAAACTTTTAATGAGCCTTTAAGCATTTTTAAGATAAAAAATATCAGGAATCGAATGTGAAATTTACCACTTAGAAAGTGAGTTTAAAAAGAAGCTTCTGAGATGGCCATGCAAATTTGGGGTGTTGTTTTGGGTTTTTTTCCTTTTAGATTCTTCTTCCTTCTAGATTCTGGAGGAAAAGCATTGCCTTCTAGTAAGCCCTGAAGAGGTTAATATATTCATTTTGAATAAAACAAAAAGCATAGTAACATTTGACACATACAAGGATATAGGAGCACATTAAGTGAATGCAAAGAACTGGCAGCTGAAAGGCAACAGTTGCATAATTTTACCAGAGTAATGAGAAGTGTGCTACATATTAATAAATATGTGACCTTTTTATCTTGATTATTTAAAAATCGTGTTATTTAAAAAATGAATAAACAAATGCTTTATTTATCCTTACATAAAGCCATATTTTTACTTGATGGACTATGTAGAATGATTTCTGTATTGGTAAAGTGGAGTGCAGCTGTACAGGTCATTGTAGCATTTATCACATCAATCTGTTCCTCTTGTCATTTTAGAAAATCTCGCATCAGGACAATCATCTCTTAAGCTAAAGCTGAAACTGAAACAAAGATATGTAAGTGTATTCATTTATGTATAATGAAATTTTAAATTCCTAAAAGACAAATATGATTAAAATTAAAGAAGAAATAAGAGAAAAGCCGTGCAAGTAAGATTCCATTTAAGTTTGTTATGTACTTTAATGAGACACAATTTCTTATTTAAAGTTGTAAAGATTTGATTAATGTTTTATTATCCCCATCATTAATAATCATAACTGCAACTTCAGAGGATTTGTATTTAAAAAAAAAAGGCAGTTAGTTGAAATTGTGAAACAAAAAAGTGTTTTGCAACCTCTCTGTTTTATTTCTGTTCTATTATTAATTATTTATCAAATGCTAAAACCTCTGGATCAGTTCAATATAAGTAATTTATGTTATAAAATAAATGCTGATGGACAGTTAGCCTAATGTAACCTAAATTACTCAGTTTATTAAAAGATAATTTATCAACTTTCCAGCAAGAGCTGAATTGTCACAGGAAGCCACAGCTCAAACTCTTGAGTCCTTCTGTGTCTCACAGAGGTGAAAACCCAAGCTGCTCAGGAGTCTTGCGAGACTGCAAAGAGCAGTGTTGTGAGCCAGCTGTCCAGGCACACAGAAGAGGACACTCTTTAGGTTCTCTGTCCCTGCCAGGGACTCAGACTCCAGAGGCACAGGGAGAGCAGTGCTGCTTAGGTAGGGAGAGCTAACTATTAAGAGTTAAGCACAGTGGACTGATGTGTTACATGGAGCAATTTGGTAAATTCTGCTTATTGAGGAAACTGTAGTTATGCTACCCGAATCTATTGATAACATGCCGTGGGCTTTCTTATCCCCAGTTTCTCATTTGCCAAATTGAGAGATAAAACCACCTCCTCCTAGTTGCATATTTCTCTGTAATAACTATACTGTAAAGAGTCACAGTTGTTGGTTTTCATAAAGGATATAATTTATACAGCCAAAATGGCAAATACAACAGTTAAAAGTTGTGGTACATCATTAAACTTTCCAAAATTTTGAATAGCTATAATAAGTAACCTAAACAAACGCATCTGTCTTCACCCACAGATCTAAAAGCTTGGTTACTTGAATGGGAGATAGGGAAATGGGCTCCCTTTCCTCATACCAATGACTTAGCAAGATAATGTTTTTTTTCTGGCATACTACCAATCAGATACCTCAACTCAAAGTAAAACCATGATTGAAGGATGCAGACCTCAGGAAATATCATGCTGTGATAAAGCAAAAGGCATATGGGATATGTAACAGTTAGGAATAAACAGTCCATGTGTAAATCATGCCAGTAATCTTTATTCTCCCCCCCCCATTTATTATTTCTATAGCTGCTATTACTGTTTGCATTCCAGTCACTTCTACTGGCTCCAGTGAAAGTTGAGCCTCCATTGTAATACACACTCTGCAGATTCAGCTACTATCCTACTATCCTGTAGCACTTTCAACTATATAGAGAAGATAAGCAAAGTGTATGCTAAATAACTTAGTGTTCCTGGCATCAGTGAGCAGCCAAGGCCCTGAAAAATCAAGTGACTTGCTGAACTGCACAACGGAAGTCTGTGGTAAATACAGCAAGTCACCACAGCCATCTCATGTTGCACTTCTGTGGTCTGAAATCCAGGATCGTTTTTGCCTGGTCTGGGCACTTTTACCGTCTATTCTCAAGGACAAAAGCTTGCTTATGCAGAGAGCTGATATGGTGTAAAGTCTGAGCAGGATGTAAAGAAATAACCATTTCTTTAAAAAATCCAATGAAAAAGCTATCAGGATTTAGAATGGAGCTGTTTTCCTGATAGCTTAGTAAGCTCTATAGGTTTTTGAAAATAGTGGAGGACTACAAAAAGAAAATATAAAAAATCTGCAAAAGTCTGAGGAAGGAATTAAAAAAAAAAATAAGAGCTGTCTGTAGGACATTACTATGCTGATTTGCTCTCTATCGGTAGTGGCACAAGTATCACACCTCTTAATTCCACTGCTAACTATATATATATATATATATATATATATATATATATATATACTAAAACTTACATGTAAGATGCATACTGCACAAGGAGAAAGTTCACAGAGCTCTTATCAGAAAGGACACCTTTCCTGACTGAAATAATCACCTAGCTAATCTACCATCATAAATCACAGCATATTCCTATTCCTTGGTCTTCATTAGAGGTCATCTTCAAGTATCTGTGGCACTACATCATCTGGTGAGCACTTAGGTTTCCTTTTGAACAAGTAGGCACATGTTAACATTATATTTTGTTTATATCTTGAGTTTAGTTTCTGTATTTGAGTTCATTCTCTTCAGTATGTATTCAAATGACAATCCATCATTCTTACACTGATCCATTCATGACTATTGTATTAAGGAAGCATTGTGTACTCTGAATAGGTTAATTGGTTGGTAGCTTAATCTAAGTTGGAGTCTGTTGAAGACAATAAGTATTTTTTTTAACCAGTGGCATTATACACAGAACTATTTCGTTCATTTATGTGCTTCTCTTTCTCTTTTTCATTTCAGAATGCTATTGTATTCTGCTTTTATTTGCAGGGGTTTCTGTAAGAATGTTGCTATTAACTTATTAGGCTGGAAATAGGTGGAAGTGCTAGCTAGATGCTGCTTGTTTTCTTTCCACTGAATTCTCTGCATGCAATCTGGAATTCTGTTTTTAATAAGATTATAAAGGAAATAATGAAAACCAGTAGGATTGTTCATCTAGCAAGTTTCCTTGGTGATTAGTGAGCTAAATAATAATGTTTCTCTCTATGGTCAAATTTTGCCTCCAGCTTCACCAGTGAGAAGCCAGAAGTAACTCCCTTGATGCCAATCATAAAATGCTTTGGAGCTATTCTAGATTCACTATGGTAGATTTAGTTACTGTGGTATAAATGATCAGAGAATTTGATTTCACATGTGTCAATAGTTTAAGGCTTGTTTGTGGTTTGTGGGTCCTTCTTTAGAAAATTATATACTTGTATAGCCTTTAAAATTATACAACCAAGAACCTCCCTAGTAGAAGCAAGGAAGTTTCACTTTAATCATACAGCACAAAAAGAGAAGAAAAAGACGAGACTGATTGTGAGTCATGAGCTTATACATATGAGAAATGGTGAGTGATAATGGTTTCAATCTACCATCCTCACTCTGGCTGCACGGCTCCTTTCAGACTGATGCATGTAACACACTCGGCAATGTTTTCCCACATAAAGTCTTACAGTTTATACAGAGTCTGGATAGAGCATCTACTGAGTAAGTTGGAAAGAAATGGAAATTGTACACCATTCCTCTTTTAGACTCAGCAAAACAGAGTAATTTTTGCCACTGGATGCAAAGAGCAGATCTAGAACAAGTTATGGGTGGCATATATTTCAACATAGCAACTCTTCCCTACGTAGATCAAGCAATTAAGTTTATATAATCATGTGCCATCTGTCTAAAGTTCTATTTTCAGATTATCAGGTAAGCCTGCCTAAGGTCCCCCTTGTTCCCCAAAGAAAGCTTAATGAGGACTGAACATCTATTTCCATTTACCTCTTCCCTAGAGCTTGGCAGTGTAGAGAGTGGGTTGGTACTAAGAAAGGTGGGTAAGAATATTGGTAGTTTCTGGTGCATCAGAAAGAAGGGTGAAATCAAATAAGCAGACTAAAGTTCTATAGACCTCAAAGACACCAAAAAGCACCCTTCGCTACTCTTCAGCTTTTTTCCATAGCAAAGACAGACATTTCAAAGACATTTCCACATAATTTTCTTTGAGAAGTATACAGAAGCAAACCAAAATCATCAAACTCAATATCTCTCTAACCTTCTTCATACTTTCCATTTTAATTTTGATTCAGAAATCCAGATCTTTTTTTTTTTTTACCTTTCTTAAGGACGGAAAGAGCAGAGGCTACCTCTTTTCTGTAACTCAGGCATAGTTTTGAACAATGAACCGCGAAAGAAAGTCTTTCTGCTAGGTGATGGATTTTTTTTCTACACCTATCTTTTGTTGCCATGTGTGGAGATGGAGGATTGACAGCATGCTTTTTTTCTCTTAAGCATGCACTCTTAGCCAAGGCCTTGATTAGCACATTTCTGCCAAAAAATAGGCTGTAATTACCTTTTAATAATCAGAATGTTTTTGCTATATCAGCATGAGATTTAGACACTTGAGGTATTTTAAAAGCTCTATTCAGGAGCTCAGTACCACCTATTACATTTGGGGCAAATAAAGCTTTTAGAATAATGTTTGAAAAAGCAGCACCCTGTAAATATAAGGTGGTGTTGCACCATATGGAGACTGGCTTTATGACATATGGTTTGAATTAACAACTTTAAAACTGTTAGGATCAGTTTTTCTTTCACTGAAGGAAAAAAAAACACAAACCCACGAGATACATACAGTTAAGTAAGCTTCAGTAGCGGATACAGACCCAGCTTGTGTCAACATGTACTAATTCAGTTAAAATACTACTTATGCTATACGAGTTGGTTTGGGGTTTTTGTTGGGTTTTTTTAAGCAACCAGTACTGCCAGCTGTAAATGTGTTTTATTACTGTTAGTACAAGGACCATCGTCACCACTACCATCATTATGATTGTGGTCCTCATTAAAATAAATTATTTGCCTTGGTTTTGTATTAAAGCTATTTGAAAAGATAGGGCTGAACAACATATGAAAACAAAGGATGGAAGCGGGTCTTCTGATCTCACCTAATTGAATCTTTGTTGGCTGAATTGATCTGAAAAAAGTTCAAAGATCTGGGATCCATATTACAAAAACATTGTTTCATTTAATCAAAACACACTTTGAACTGCCATACTTGCAGACCACCTGTAGCTTTGAAATCCAAAGTCTTGGGAAAGCTTCCCTGATGATCCACAGATATGATATGTCTGAGAAAAATAAAAACAGAAAAGATAGAGTTCCTTGTAAATCTCTTTTATATCAAGGGTTTTCTTAAGCCATTTACCCTTGTCTATGCTAAGTCACCTGGAGCAGCAAGCAAACCAGTCAGCATAAGGAAGTGCATATCTTTTTCATTTTTGTTTCACAACTTTCATTGTTGCTGCATTTACAGACAGTTCCAAAGACAAAATAGCCATGAGGTTGTCCTTGCTCTCAAATAAGTGTAGCAATACTATGAGAGCTTCATTTCTCAGGACTCATCCTGCATCTGAGAAAGTTCAGCTCTGTACTGAAACAAGAAACAACCATGGCACATGCTAAAATAGTGGCAACAGAATAAGGAAAAGAAAAAGAAAGAATCAAAATAAAATGTGCAGGGCCAGAACCTCTTCTATGCATGCAGGTTATTGGCACAATGGAGCTGCAACATAGAATGCTATGATGGACATGAATGACATGATGGATCCTGTCTCCTTAGCTTCAAAAATGTAAAATTTCAGACCTTCATGTCCTGGATAAGCATTCTTCAATACTATTTTCCAAGGAGTTTCTATCTGGAAAACAAACATAGTAGGGACATGACTGATATGCTCTACTTTTCAGCAGTCATCAAGCATTATGTCTTCCCTTTGGAATCATAGCCATCCAGTTTTATTTATTGATACTCAGAAGTTGCTAAGAACTGGCAAAAACCATCACAGGATCACTGACTTACTCAACCTGTGTTCACAGAGAACCTGGACCAATTTTTCTTCTCAATGATTCAGATCTCAGAGAGAAAAAACAGCAAACAAACTGAAAGTTATGTGAGAACAGATTAAGCTTGCTCAGCTATAGTTTATACCTAATTTTCTGGTAATGGAACTGTGGGAATACAATCTTGCAGAACTACCTGGCAATTGATAATCCATTTACATATTTTTCTGATAATTCCTCATAACATCCAGATTCCACCTGCCTCTCCCTTCTTGTAATCAATTTCTCAATTCCACACATCCGTTTCCAAAATCTCATGTTCTAGTTAAAAAAAAAAAAAAGGAGAAAAGAGATCTTCCAAATCTGGTTAGGTTTTTCAGCTACACACTGTCATTTAAAGAAATCCTCATCTGGTTTAGAAAATCCTATCACAGTGCATCCTAATGCTGTACTGCAACTCCCAACTGCTTAAAAGAAAAGGGACAAAAGCCCAGTATGTTGATCTACCTGAGAGACTCACAGCACATGAATTACTGGGATGTCCAGAGCAAAGACCTGTGCCCCCCTTACTATGTAGATTATATATTTATATATTATATATAAATTATATATATATATATATAAATTATATATAATATATATAATTATATATGTATATAATTATAGATTATATATTTATATATTATTATGTAAATGGTCAATTCTCATTGTATGTAACTTAAGTCTCTCTCTCTCTCTCTCTCTCTCTCTCTCTCTCTCTCTCTCTCTGGAACTCCTCAAAACAGGGTGCCAAGGGCAGAACTCTTATTTTAAAGTAACGTGATCAAATCAAAATTCTTTTCCTAACAAAAGAGAATAAAAACATACTAGTCTTTGTGTGTTGCTTTAGTGAAAATGCATGGCAGAATTCTGTGTAAATACAAAATGTTGAGAAACATCAGGGAACAATCCATACATATGCCAACTATAATGGGAACAGTGTGTGGTCCACTGATTGTATATCACAACATATTTAGTCATTTTCAAAAAAACCATTGACACCTTATCTCATTTCACAAAATCCAGTATTATACCCCAGAAGAAACTAAGGTGTATAAGGTAGAATATGTGCATGTGTTGTCATGTAAGAAACACATATATTGTATAAAGGCAATGTAAAAGAAAAGAAATGTTAAAAAATAATTATTATTATTTCACAAGGTCATTGGGATCTTTGTCTTTCATATTCTTCTTCTAATTGTAATATAAAGCCTCATATTTAAAACAAAGCAAGCATAATAGTTCTACATGGAAACACATAGTGGATACCTGAAATATGGTGACTGAAGCAAATAAGGATTTGTCTTGTGCATCTACCTAATTACATGTGAAAAAACTGAGGTTTTGCCATTTCAGAAGAAATGTGGCCCTTAATCTCCTGTCCTAGAATGTACATAAAATATGTCTGCATCTGGCTCTTATATGTCTCCTTCATGTCACAGTCAACATCTGCATTTTGAAGTTGTCAAGTAATGCCAAAAAGTTCACATATATATAGAAATCATATGTGAGTTTTTCTGTATAAATGTGCAGATAGACAGATAGATGGATAATTTTGGCAAATTAAATCTTCTTCCCTTGCTGATAACACATCTGCCAGCAAGTGTGCTTTGTGACAGACTTTTGCCCTTCTCTACATCAATATCTGATAGTTAGACAGAAAAGAGGCATCACTATATTAACATATCTATTTCTCTGTCTTTCCTCTACAGGTGCTAAATAATTAGTACTGGTTGAATTATTCATTGCAAATAATATTCATTGTGAATTTAGCCAGTTTATTTTTTTTTATTTTGCCTACAAATGATTCAAGAGGCAACCCTGAATTCTGCAAATATATTCATTGCTTATAAGTATTCAACAAATACTTGGACAAACCTCTTTTGACCTAGAGAAACACTGGTTCATAAATCAATTTCTTCAGAAAATGATAATGAATGAATTGCCATCATGAGCAGATGTCATAGTTTTTCTTTTCTTGTTGGTAGACTTTATTTAAAAAAAAAACAAACAAGTAAGTGAAAGTGCTAACTAACAAATAATCTACACCTGGAGTAAGTTTTCTGGCTCATAACCATTTATGAGACTTTTGAGATTAGCAAATAGAAATTACAGAAAAGAAAGAAACTTGTGAATATACTAGTGAATATATTTTTTGTTTTGCACTGCCAGTGTGTAATTTTTTATGTCTAACCAAGTGTATTTGGAGAACAGGAATTGTGACTGTCTCTGCATTTGTGGTTAGAGTCCCAATCTGGAATGCAGCTGTATCACAAGAAGTAAATATAATGATAATCTAACAGAATAGCACAGGCAAAGCTTCATAGTAGACCTGATTACAACTAACTGGGATAAGGATGATTACTTTCAAATGCATGTTCTCTCCAGCATTCTGGACTGGAATTCTGTATTCATCATTAAGGTTGAGAATTAAATTTCTCCATAAGCAGTATAAGTTTTCCACCAGTGTATGTGTATATAGATATACATATCACCTATTAAGTTAGACAGAAATCTCAGAAACTTTAAGTTGCAAGAAACTTTAGCAAAATAAAAGAAATGAAAATGTGCTTATAAGACAACTTTAGAATAGAGGTTACTGTTAGGCCACTTATAAGTGAGGTATCCTTAAAGACTTTATTAGAAAGAATTTTTTCTCTTTTCGAGAGTTCCTAAGCAGATAGAAATCAAGGGCTGTATACCAAGGAAGGCCATGTACAATTTCTTCTAATCAAAAAAAAATGAAGAAGTGGATCTTAAAATATCTGCCAGTCACTCAGCGTTATATTCATGCAGCACAGGAGGACAAATTATAACAAAGTCTATTGCGCCCCAGCTCCTTCTGTCCTTATGCATTTTTTTGAAGACTTCACACTCTCCCTTACATATGAAAAGGGAAAAATTCTGCTGACTTTTTATCACTACAGATGAGGAGAAATTCTGCTCAGTTCTGGACATCCTGCAGGTTAACCCCTGCCGAGTCTATTTGCTGAGTCTTGAGAAGGTTACTAGAGCAGAAATATCACCCACCCTTCCATACAGAGTGACTACATGGCTTGAAAAAGTTGGCATTTCAAGATTACACAATATTGAGTTCTATGTGCAACCTTCCAACTATGTAAATTTCTCACATATTATAAAATGAATATAATCACATGGTCTAATGTCAGCCAGCTTCTAAAGATAATTGCTTTTCTGGAAGAAAAAGAAAAGAATAATGTTGCAATATTCAACACAATGTTATTTATCATTTTCAGCTAGACCAGTTTTATTTTGAGGTCCTGTATTAAAAATTTCTGTATTAGAAATATTGCTAAATTGCTTTTTTTTTAAAGTAACCTTAACTTTTGGTGAGGGCTTTAGTCTTTCTTCTTATGAAGAGCAATAGGGCAACAGAAACACTGCAAATCCTTTGAGCCCACAGACATTAGTATATACTATACTGAGATATATGTTATTACTCTGAAACAGAAACGTGGAATTAACCTCACACCTCTTTCCAGCTGCAATGGATATTGATACAAAAATTCCTGTGAACTATTGAATGGGTTCCAATAAACAAAAGGGCCTGAACATCAAAGTACAAATGTGACACTTCAGCCAACATCATTATGGAAAATTTAGGTTCAACACGACAAGATCTGATGATCCACATAATTTTCCCGATTAGGACATCATCAAGAATTCAACTAATAAGAAAACAACACCTCAAAATTCTCCCTATGAAACTCCTTTAGACAGGAGAGGAAGGTTCTCTTACTACACAGAGGGGAAAAAAATATAATGAGGTAATTCATTCACATCAAGTGTTTGATTTGTGCCCACTTGTTTGTCTTGGACAGCACAAATCCTGCACTGTCATTTAAAGTACTAACTACTTATTGCCATTGGGCTAAAAATGGCTTCGTTATTGATGTATATACAAATGAGCTTGCATAATTTCTCATTTTTTAAGGAAGCAGGTGAATAGTCAGGCTGCAGTATTGCACTCTATTTAATTTGCCCTAACTTGGACCAGGATGGTTCTTCCTGCTTCCCTAATCATTTTCTTTTTGGGCCAGGCATTTCCTCTATTTTCTACATGGTAATAATAAAAATGGCTGAATGACCTAGTCTTATTTTGAACTTAGTTTTCTACAGATTTGGGGAGTGAGAATCTACATGAAGGGCAGCTTTGAAGATTGGGCTGTCATTTTCAGCAACACCTGCACTAGCTAGCACCCTTGGGTTTTGGGTGCTTATAGATGTCAGAATAGACCGAAAGACATATCAAGCGAAACGCCTTTACTCAGTTCAGAAACTGGTATCCAAGAGCTCAATTTCATAATTTCTAGCTCACCCCTAATGAAAGGATATAATTGTGTATAACATGACTGTTTGGAATCAAAATTAAGGAACCAGACATAGGCAGCTGCAAGCTGAGGCCTTCAGTCAAGTGTTGGTAGAAGCAGGTTGAGACCACCAGCAGCATGACATTAGTTAATTAATTTCTCACTTTGTCACACTTCCATAGGCTTCATCCTGACACACCACATGTTGTTAGGCCTGTGGAGCTGAACCTCAAGAGCCTGTGCCTCTGGTTCAAGATATCTTGGTGGTGTTGCTCCTAAAATAAGGAGCAGCAATGCCGTCTACAGCCGTGCTTAAGCTGTGTTAAGTCTAAGGACTGTCCAGCTTGTAATTGGAGCTCATTCCTATGTATTCAATGTAGTTTTTTCTCTCCGGTTCTTTGATCTCACCAGGTCCCATCAAACGTTCAACCTCAGATGACACATTTTGCCACTAGTCTCAGAACCCTGGAACACTTCTTAAAACCTCCAAAAAATTTCTACCATAAAGATTGTTTTACTTTTGACTAGTTAATTACTTCAAAACTGTAGACAAGACTTATGTTTATTGCACTGAGACAGGTTTTTGAATCAATTTCTGTTGAACTGAGGCCAGAATTTATTTTTTTATCTATCCCTTGTGATTGCTTTACACAATGAAGCTGTATGTAGTCTTGTTATTTGCACGAACTCAGCAATATTCTATTTTTCTGACTACACAATATACCGTTGTATTCAGTCCTGTCCTGTACATGAGGGCTTGAAGGGTAATACTCCTGCAATAGTGTAATTTATACTTGAGCTCCGAGTTTAGTTTATCCCAAGGCATGGCATCTGCAAAGCAGATATGAAATCCTATGGCACAACAGACCAATTTACCCTCCCTCTAAATTTCATGTGTATTTCTAATCTTATATATGGGGGTTTTAGGTGTTTGTTTTTTCTTTTCCTTCAGAAAAATGACAAAAGTAAAATTTCCCCTTCATATGAAAGATTTCATATTTTGTATCTCTGTGTCCTTGGGCATTTTATCAAGCTATTTTCTTTTCCCATATTATCCTAATGACCAAACTCTTGTTCTTTATAAGAAAAATATAAAGGGAAAAATGTTTGCTTCCACCACTAGTTTTAAATATTCACCACTGGAAACAACACGTTTATACTAAACCTGGTAGTTGAGGCTTAATCTAAAGTGCTTTATATTAGTAATTGCTGTTACCCTGAAACACAGACTTCCTATCAACTCTTAGAATTTATTTACTGCTTTGGTGTTATTATTCATAAGCACATATATGTATTGCCTGAAACATATTAATGATTATCCAATTTATTGCAATGGAAAATTATCTAAACCCACCAAGTTTCGTAGAGGTGTTTGGTAGAGCTGCCTCCCTCTTGTCCATGTCAACCTTAGATCTCCTGGCAAAGGCAAGTAAGAACCAGATGAGAATTTGTGGGATCATGACCAGAGTGCTAGAGAACAATATTGATTTCGGGGTTTTTATCGATACGTTACAGATGTTTCCTCCTAATGTTGTCTAAACAAGATTGATTTGCAACCTAGTCAAGAATGCACCTTTCATAATTTCTCAGCTGTGAAGCAAACCGATGGACAAAGTTCTTGTGTTCCAGTCCTGAGCCAGTAGCCCATTCTCTACATAGAAGAGCTTTTAGTTTTTTGAAGTGCGAAAGAGAATGTGGCTGTGATTTGTCTTCTTTTGCTTTAATCAGTTAATAACTTCATGGCTGAATTATTGCTCAGTTACCTGCTATGCTTTTTCTTTAATTTTTATTTGACTATCCCATATACTCTTCCTACATAGATGCAAAATTACAGGGAAATATCCATCTAGTTATTCTACAAAATGGCCAGACCCAGGCCAATAACTTTTTATCACTACCAAAAGCCTGCTGAAAATAGATCTAGCTATTTATTTTAGACATCTTAAAAGGCAGATTACCCTATTTGGACTCAGTTCATTGGGTTCATGAAATTCATATATAAATTGCAAGAGCGACACATCTATAACACTTCCCAAATGTCTAAAGTACTCAATCATTTCTATATCTGAGAAATAATGAAAAAAAATGAATAGAAATGGGAACTAATTGATATTTTTTTGGGGGGAGACACAAATATTATGAGTCTTCTATGATAGAAAAGAAATGTTTTAAAATGTTTACAAAATATTTACAAAAATTATCTCAGCTTGAATTTCTTTTCTGATTACCTGAATCATTTGAAACAATTCCAGGACCTTAGCTGTTGATGCTGAAAATATAAACACAGTAAATTTTTAAATATACATTGTAGTCTACTTACTGACTTTTATTTTTTTATTTATCCTTTAAAATAAACGTGGAAATTATTCTGCAGTAGAAAGCAATGACTGAGTATTTTGTATTTCGCACAGAACTACTAGAGACTCCACACATAATCTGCAGCAGTGCACAGTTATACGATGAGTTTACCAGACTCTTACACACAGTATGCATGTGCTTTATTACACAACAAAAATACAGATGTGGTAGCCACGGCAGCAATTCATCATGTATTATTTCATAGTGTGCATTATTATCATATGTACAGATAAATCTAATAAATATGGAAGTGCAAATGCTAGCAAAACCAGCTGCCAATACCCAGATCTTGAAAATGTCATTAACACACTTACTGCAGTTCTTTTAAAAAAAGGTTAAAAAAAATATTTGATTATATGAAAAAAAAAAGGAAAATTAAATAAAATTAGCAAGTAAAAGGAAAAAAAAGGCCAATTATTTCAGTCAGATAGGAGTTGAAAAATATCTCCTACAATGAGAAGTCAAGCAGCTCAACCTACCTAATTTATCAAAAAGGCAGATAAGAAAGAATTGAACACTATAGAAAAACATAAACAATACTGAGGCTGGTGAGGGGCTTTTCAATCTAACTAATGGGGATACTAAAAGATATATTGGCAGGAAGATTATATGAGTTTCAGCCTTGAAATAAGACACAGTATCCTAGTGGAGAAGATACTTATATACTTGAATGGCTTAATAGGTGTAAGTAGAGTCAACATTGCCTGGAATGTTTCAAAATTACGTCTTTCAAAACTCTGGTGTTGAATAATATTTCCACAAGAAAATCAGCCTGAGCTTTCTGATGACATGGCTGTGTTTTTTCTCTTCTCACCTTTGGCACCTCTCAACAGACACCTGTGAAACTCTTCCTTCTTTCCCTTTTTTATAGATTGGGAAGATTTGCACTGTCATCAGGACAGTGCATTTTTTACTTTACCTTATAACACAAACTACAAGGAAACCTCATGCTGGTAGGAACAAAAGCCTAGAAGGACTTGTCAGTTGGCCAGATATATTCCTCTCCGTAGGTTTGCTAGGATTGCTAGACTTGGTATAAGGAAAGTATTCCTCTACAAATGAAAACTGAGGGGAGACCTCATCACAGTCTTAAACTTTCTCATGAGGGGAAGAAGAGGGGCACACACTGATCTCTTCTCTGTGGTGACCAGTGACAGGACCTAAGGGAATGGTCTGAAGTTGTGTCAGGGGAAGTTTAGGTTGAATATTAGAAAAAAGTTCTTCACCCAGAGGGAGGTTGGACATTGGAACAGGCTCCCTAGGAAGTTGTCACAGCACCAAGCCTGACAGAGTTCAAGAAGCATTTGGATGATACTCCCAAGCACATGGTGTGACTCTTGGGGATGGTCCTGTGGAGGGATAAGGGTTGGACTTGGTGATCCTTGTGGGTCCCTTCCAACTCAGCGATTCTATGGTTCTGTGAAAGGAGTATTAGTTGCATTTATTTCTCTCTGCAATGCAGAATATGGAATTCCCAGAGAATTTTCTTCAGATTGTTATGGGGTTTAGGATTTTAAATATATGTGTCTACATGTAAGCTATTAGTTTCCTCTATACTTTCACCAACCTAGACAGTTCATGGAGGCTAGGACATAGCTGAGCTGACAAACGTTGGTAGATCCCTCTTTAGAGATCTCCCTGGACACCTTCAAGTGTATGGACTAAATCCACTTTTCTGTGGAAGCTTTTGTACTTAGCTCATATGCAGATAACATTATTTAGTTGTGAACAGACTGGTATATCCCCGTCATTGGTAGGAATGCACAAGTATAATGCACTTAATCATCTGACATCACAGGGCTCTGGGCATTGTGAGTACCCTGCTATCACCTGTTCTCTTCAGGAGACACAATTTCAGTGAAACTCAAGCTGTTGGACTCAGCCAAGGGACAGCTACTACTCTATGAAACTTAATGGTGTGTAATACATAAGAGAGAAGACTAAATGATCTCTTCCAGCTTAAAGTGTTATTATGGTTGTTCAACCTTGAAATGCAAGTTGGTGATACCCTCTTTTTGTCAGAGGATGTTGCTGCCTTGAAAAGAAACTGGAATTATAATTCACAAAGTGTTTCTTTTTACATTTGTTGGTTTAGAGATGTTGGCATTATGGTCCTGTCAGCAGGACATGGCTAGACATACCCTTTTTTCTTTTCTAGAAACAAAAAACTCCTCTTCAGTATAGGTTTCTCTAGAGGATTTATTAGCTCTGAAGCTTAGATTCAGTTTTTTCTTTGAGTGAGCTGTCGTAAAAGATGCTTGTTGAAAATGTGCCCCAAGAAATTAATTGTCAGAGACAACCCCAGGGAGAACAAATGCTTCCAAAACTACTTAATGATACTTACCATCTATATAAATTTTTATATTTTCTGAGCACAGCCCAAACACTCACAATTAACATTAATTATATTGCCACTTATAAAGTGACACCATTTCAGGGTGCAAAAGCTCATACAGCCTATTTTCCATGAAACTCTGAAGCGTGGGGTTTGCAGGACTATAATGGAAGTGGGTTTTTTGATTCCCCAGACAACATAGCCACAATATCAAAATCAGTACATGAGTCAGCCCTCACCTTGAGTGTTTCTGTAGAGCCTGTTAGCTTGTTAGCAACCCATTGTCTCACTCACAAGGAGAGTCTGACCAAAAGCTCCTGAACACAGACATGCGCAGTCATCATGCCCGAATCGCACTCGAGTGTTTCCCACTAAATGCCGTGCCCTTTTCACCTGACCTGTCTGATTACTAGATATATAAATAGTTCAAAGATACATATTTCATCAGAACTGAATTACATGAGAAACTTTAAATAATGTCTTTAAAAGGAAGAAAAATTGTAATGAAGTAGAAAGGAGAAAAAAAAATTGAGATGGGAGAAAGGAATGGAAGAAAAGGAGAGACCATGGTGCTGCATCTTTGGGTGATTAATCAAGTGAAATTTTATTTGGTATAAAACCAATATGAAGTCATCTTCAGGCACAAGGTATGTAATATAATCCCAGGCAAGGACTGCTGACACACTTGGCCAGTAATTTTAATTACATGCAAAATTTGACCAAAGCACAGTTAAGAGCTTTTTTTTTTTTTTTTCTTCTAAGATATTTCCTTTGCTAAATATCCTCAGTTACAGGAGAAGAGGGGAAGCAAATAAATCAGTGACACCAAATGACTTTTTAGCATACTAAAAGCAGAATGAAGTCTGGAGCACGAATAAGGTTTGCTGTGACTTCAACCCCAAACATTCAGATGTTAGTCAGCCTTCTTTATCTGAAAGAACTGAGGAGGGAATTTAAATATTAAAGTTTTATTAAAGAGTTCTTGCAATACTATCTTTGTTCTGGCTGAAGGAAAGCTTATAAAAAAGATTCGATTGAACATTGTTTAAAAAAATTTATACTGACAGATTTTTGAGGTTTGGATTTTGTTTTAGGTAAAAGTGTGTGTGAATAATAACAGAAAATCATTTCAGGTAGGTCTATGCCTTCTCTGCTGTCTTTCCGTCGATGTGTTCCTGTACTGATTTTTTGAAATAAGTTTGCTCTCGGTGGTCACTGAGCAAAAGATATATACTATCAAGGAAAAGGGTGACACCATCTATATAGGAAGACCTATCAAACACACATGTTGAACAACCAAGAAAATCATCTGTGTCATTTGTGGTTGTCATAGAACTACTCGTCTCAAAAGCAGGTAAATCAGTTTCAAACAGAAGTGCAGTTTCAGAGTTACACTGTCCCTTTTATTTCTGTAGGGGGTTCATTCAAAAAGACATACTTCGCAGGACCGAGTGGAAAGAGCTTCGATTAGGGCTGTACAGTATGTGACTAAAGGATTTGTTAACCTCAGCGCTTCAAAGCACACTTGAAAATAAGATTCAAATGGGCTCTTTCTTTTGTGGTTCTGCAGTGATAAACGAGTTCTCCATGCACCAATGCTCATGATTACTACTTCTCCAACATTGTGACTCTGGATGAACATTAGATCAGTCTAAGTAATGTCCAGAACATTTCATCCATACTAAATAATGTATGTTGTGGCAGACCTCTCCATTTTGCTAAGGAAAGAGCTGCAAGTCTAGTCATAGCTTTTCTGGGGTTATATCATCAATCTTCAGGTGCTCCACAGAACTTGCAGACTTTTTCCAGTAAAGAAAGGAATGGAAGGGGAAACCCAATGGGTTTTTTCGTTGTTTTGGGGTTTAGGGATTTTTTTCCCCTGTGTGTTTTTCTTTGGTTCTTTGGTTTTTGGATTTTGGTTTTGGGGTTTTGTGGGTTTTCTTTTTTTTTTTTTTAATTTAGATTTAAAGTTAGAGAATTTTTTCCTTTAGGCTTCACTCATAAGCTTTGTTTTAAAACCCATGCTTAAATCAGTGAAAGAAACTTACTTTCTAATGATCAGCTGATGCATTAGTGGAATAATCCATTACAGGCCCTTAGGATCAATACTCTTAAATATGCTGGTGGGTAACATCACTCACATGATTCATCTGAATATAGCAAGTGGAACTATTCAAATACTAAAAGTTATTCACAGCTGTAACTGCTTAACAAACTCTTTACTGTTCATATGAAAATGAAATTCCCATTTTTGCCACAGGAGCCTACTGAATGCGTCATATTTAGGGTTCTTCTGATTGTGGCAACAGTGCATCATTAGCAGTGTTTTCTGTAGTTATTCCTGTCTCTATCTCAGCATAAGAAAGGCCTAATAAATTTTATTCTCCCTCAAGAGTGAACACATTCCACAATAGGTAGTGGAACTCTCTCTCCTTGAAGCTTTACACGAGCCATCGCTTTTGTCTTGTCTGTAACTGATATCTGTTGGTCATGATGACATATTTCCTGATTGAGGGCTGTGTATCTTGATGGCTTCTTTTTCCTCTTCCAAGAGCTGCTTAAGTCTAATAATTTAGATCCAAAAAAAGTAACAAGCCTATGCTGCTTGTTAATGATACAGCTCTATCAATAATCTTCCCAGGAAAATAAATTTGTAGCAAACATATTGACAACATCTAGGAAACATTTCCATTATTTTTATATAGATATTAAATATATCTTGAATGCATTGAAATAATATGAATTTATTTCACTTTATGTAAATGACATCAGTCTTCCTACACTTGCAATAATATTCAAAGAAAGCTGTAAAATAGAAAATTACAAGTAACAATGGAGTTAAAATAACAATGGCTGAACAATGAACAATGCTCTATCTAGACTTAAAATAGTTTATTTATTTTTCCAAAAGCTACAGCCTATAAGAAAGGAATTGTACTTTCTAAAGGAGTAATTTAGATGAATTAGACCTATACACACTGGATACTTACCTAGTCTTAGTCAACACACATGAGAAAAAGAGAGTAGATACAGCCAGGGAAGAAGATAGGTGTGATCAGAGAACACTTTTCCCTGTTAGGACAGAGGAGTTGGGAAGAGAGTTTGGAAATCTTTAAAAAGGTATTACTAAGCCTCATAGCTCTGGAGATATTGTGATTTTATCCTTATTGTCTTGGAAACCTGAAAAAAATACACCATGTTGGGGTTTGCGTGTGTATGTGTGTGTGTAAGACACTATTTTAGCACTGCTGTGAAGTTACACTGTCCTAGAGGAAGCTGTGACAGGTACCAAAATGGAGGGTGTCCTATTGTAACTAATGGTGCTGCTAAACAAAACCCTGGAAATGAAAATAGAGATCCTAGGAGAAGAACTGGTTCTACCAGTTTACAGTATAAGTCACATCTTGTTTGGGGACCGAATTCGAGCCATCTGGTAGTCCTCTTGGGCATTAAACCGTTCCACTCAGAAAACTGAAAAGCTGTTGATACTCCCTGTTTTCCTCAGACCTTCACTGTGACTCTCTCGGATACCATTGTAAGGGAATATAATATACAATCTTCCTCACTCTCTAAGAGTGCAATAGTTTACCCCTCACACTAAATCAGTTCTGCCAACTGAAGAATAGCAAACGTTCACCAACTCCTCAGCAGGCAGAAAAATCCATGTTTTGATTCAGTTTTGGTTTCAGTGATCTTTGCTCCCACCTGGTGTCTCTAATTGACAGCTTCTTTGCAGTAGATGGAGACAGCAATAGGATTCTAGGCTTTAGCTTTAAATTATATTTTTAAAACCTCATGAGGTTACAGAGGAGCGATTTACTTTGAAGGAAACTCTGATAAACCCTTTCAGCAGAAAGGAGGGAAAGCATTGCAATAGAAATAGCACCTGTTATAACAGCAAGCAAGTAGGAGGATCACACACAAGGGACTGGCATGAAGCCACTGACAGGGTAGAGCACAGTAGGCTTACTCCATCCTCCATGCTACACAGCCTGTATTTAAAACATAGGCAAGTGAGAAATAGTGGTTTTGACTAAAAGTCTGAGAGCATTAGGCCACCAGTAGGTGCAATGTAATCTTACATCTTGGATTTCAGCACAGGGGCCAGCGTTGACGGGACAAGGCTCAGGTTTCTGTTACTTCTTGCATTTTGTCCCTCAGAAATCCCTGGTAGGACAATTTTGCTGCCAGAGCTGTGAAGCTCTGGGACCAAACAGTGGGAGCAGATCTAGGTCAAGCTAGATGAACAAATCCCACTTATAGACCAATACTGTCCTGTCTTTTTCTGGTGTACAGCTGCCTGAAGGAATCCACAAGGTACACTGATCTTCATTTCATTGAGGATTTTGGAAACTTGGTTTCATAGGAAGATATTATCCCGCTACCAGTTTGTATTGGCTTCTTATGTAAGTTGTGACTTCAATGAGATTTTTTTCTGAATAAAGAGGGAATCACATTGGCAAACTTATCTGAATGGAGGACTCCCTGTTTGTGTGTGTAGGATAGAGTCGCTTACATGAGCAGAAGCATGGGGCAGGCATCCAGGGTCATACATACGGCAGATAAAGAGCAGAACAGCATGGAAATATTCTGGGGTGCTCATGGGGAATTAGAGGAATGATTCAAAATGTTCTTTTCCTGCCAAAGTTCAAAGGTAGCACAAATATCTATTTCTTATATCCACTATCCTCTATGGGTTTAGCAAGAAGCTGGAGGATGATACTTAAAACAGCAGCAGCTAAGCATGTGTCTGTTCTCCAGTGTTTCATCCAAGGCTAAAAACATCACCTTACATCTGTTTTCTTCTCCTTCGATACAACATTGCAGAGCGAAAGGATTAAGAATTTGGCTGTTCCTATCAGGAAACTTTGGATAAACATTAGCCCATAAGCCTGTGTTTCAAGCTTGAATATATATTCCTTTTTAACCACAAGTTCCTGACCTTAAAGCAGCAGTTTTAAAGAAGGTTCCTCCTTTCCTAATAGATTTGGTTTAGTTCATCATCTTCCACTGATCTTTTAAAAATTTGATCATTAAAGAACTGAGAACTCATTTTGCCTATGTAAGCACTGAAGACCAGATATACTTTCCATAAAACAGTGATTGCTGAAGCTTATTCACAAAGTTTTCCCTCCCTGGCCTGCCTTGCTTCCAAAGACAGCAAATCTGCAGCACTCTATGTATGGTTTTTGTGAAGCATTTTGGGATACTTCAAAAGTAAATTATTAATAAAAATGTAAATTATTATTATTGTAAAAACATGTTGGCCCACTGTGTCATGTACCATTCTCAGAAGCAGCATTCTTTCACACTGGGATTTGAAAAACAGCAAAGAATTTAGCTTGAATCAAATGACATTATGTATTTAGTAATTTATCAAAGCCACTTGGTAGAAATTGGGGAAAACATTGGTTAATCTTATTCATGTGGGAGTTTCCTGGTTATGCAGCAACACTCTCCTGTTTCTTAGTTCCCCTTTCCTCTTGAAGGCCTGTAATGCTTCAGCTTCCTATTGAGCTTGAAGCAAGACCATTTTGATGCTACAATATATGAAGCAGTCAACAGAGAATGCTTAAAGTTATGAGGGATATTCCAGGCACTGCAAGGAGCACCCAGGAAAAGTAAATAATATCCACAGCATGAGATATCTGCCTCACTGGGTCTGAATTTAGCTTCCCTCTGAGTCAGTGGATTAGCAATACTTTGGACTGTTAATTCAGCTGTTAAGTGATTGTGGTGGGGCTTTGGAAGAGTATTGTTCACCTTTAAAGAACAAAAGCACTCATTCAGGTTGCTGAGGGAGTTTGGGTCAAAATTTCAGGAATATGTGGCACACAGGTAACAATTTGTCACCTTCCAAAAGAGAAATTCTCTATCGTTGGATTACCTAATGGCAGTGTAGGCTGTTCATTATTAGGATAGCTTGGAATATACAACAGCTGCCTAGCGCAGATCCTACGGGGTACATGGGACTCCTTTTCACTTTGACAAGGTGACAAGTTGGAGCACTGGCACATCCTCACAAAAAATCTTCGTTTTTGTTTTATAGTGATGTGCCCTTCTAGTGACACACATACTTTTCTCCATTTTCCTTCAGCAGAGTCTGCATGAAACAGAATTTATCTGTCTGTTCAGAAAATCCTGATAGCTACTTAAAGTAGCTATCTTTTTTTCTGTGGCAACTTGAGTTAGTCCATCTTCACCAGTACCAAGGAAATTCCTCACACCTTCAGACCCCAGAAAATAGATTCATAATATTTTTCACTTCACTGGACATACGACACACCATACAGGAATTTATCATAGCAATGACACATCCTATTACAGAGGTTGACTCTTGAACCAGCTCACTTCCCATTTGTGCTCATATAGCATCTTACTAGCAACTGTAGCAATTGTGATACTAGGCAAGTATTTAGAGGTTTTGGATGTTTTTAGTGACACTTACCATCTGGAAAAAGGTCAAGAGACAACATCAAACAGTCCTTTGGTCCATTATAATAACTGAAAAGTGATTTTCAGACCAGAACTGGTCTATGTGCCGCAGTTTGAGAGTTCCAATTTTTAAAAAAAAAGAACCCAAATGGCAACTGTTATTAAGTATTGTATTACAAAACAGAAGACTGCAAAGAATAAAAAATAGCCATGGTACTAGAGATATCCTGATGGGGTTGGTAGATATGGCAGAAAGAGATGCACTGCACTTTTCTTTACAGGCAACTAGAAGCCAAGCAAGATGTTTTTGGCCTCTAAAATGACTCTAACAACCAATCACTAGCAATTGCACTGTATTTGCAGTTTTTCTGCTACTTATCTCCCTATGACACAAAGCTGATTTTTTGCTTGAAAGTAGCTGCATTCCTCAAGAGAAAGAAAAGACAGTCTGCTACATGAAGATGTAATTACTTTGAGATTATTTGTTAGGATCATTAAAACACGATATTTTTAAAGTGAAGATGGCATGCAAAGAAAGAACATGACTTGGGTACCCCTTATTTCATGTGTTCATGTGCATTGAGGGATAAATTTAGATATAAAAAATTCCAAGTAAAATATGTTCTGCTTTCTCTATCTCCATTCCCTAAAGGACCCACCAATGATATAGCATCCTGATGTAAGGAGGATAAGAATATCCATACTAGGTCAGAGCCAAGAATCAACAAATCCAATACCCTATCTCAAGAAGTGGACAATATTATTCCAGAAGGAGGAAAATTTGTACTTCCGTTCCAGACAGTTCAATGCAGAGTTAAAGCTGGACTCTGGGTTCATTGTGGGTAGGTGAAGGTGCATCAGCTCCTGCAAAGAACAATGGACAATTGTTTTTGGAAATGCAAGAGGAAGCCAAGGAGTTCACGGAAAAACTGGAGCAGAAGAGCATCACCGTGCATGTGGGTTGGTAAACGCATGCTTGGAGCATGCTTTCAGATGCCTACCATTCCAGCAAAGTGCCAACCTGAGGACAAATCCCAGCATCTTCTGGAAATGCTGCTTCTTTGCCAGAGTGACTTACTCTGAAATTAAAAGGAAAGGGCTTACTTGGATGGAAGTTTGAGTGGTTGAGAATGAAATTTGACTGAGGACATCTACATGATGTTTCCAGTCTCTGGTGCGGCAAATCAATACACCCCTGCTCAATCCTTACAAAGAAAAGAAGTAGAGAGTATGAAATGCTGAGGGAAGAGTGCCAGAACAGGATAAGCACCACAACTGAAGTCTAAATATTCTTCTAGACTTAAGCACTCAACTGCTTGCACATTTCCTAAGCTAATTTTTATGTCTGCTAGTCTTCAATGGATTTTTTTGTCCATAAATTTGGGAACTTAGGTCTAGGGAATGGAAGAGGTAGTTAGGACTTAAAGTTTTCAGAAGCAGAAATTTCACTCTGTTCTTTTAAAAAATTAGAGCTAAAAGGGAATTAACAGGAGAAAGACAAAAGGCACAAATAATTTGGAACAGTATAAATACAGTTATATGGCCCTTTTTTTCTAAAGATTTCAAAGCTCTGTTCAAAGGAAAGTTATTATTGTTCCCAGTGTACACACAGGCATAATTGAGCCCAGAAATATACAGATAGTGACCAGAAGTCATGTAGCTATCGCATAATAGAACTGGACATTTATTTCAAAACTCAACAAGCGGGATTTTTTATCTTAATAATAAAGCTGCTAAACAAAAATCCCAATATTTCAAAGCTTATGTGGACAGTGGGGAAGCCAGGAATGCTTCCCGGATCTGCCTGGGTCTAGCTCAATCCAAAAGTCAAACAGACACCATCACCATTTCATGCTTTCCTGGTTTTCATGCAAAGTAAATCCAGACATAGGAAGCAGACACTGTGTTCTCTATCAGACCCAAGCCTGGACTTGAGACCAAGGCTGAGGAGTTTTTACTGGTTTGCAGTATAGGCACAGCTACAGGGAGCAAAACTAGTTTCAAATTCTCAGCAGTAAATATTCATGGCCAAAAAAATAGGACAGCAGGGTAAACACTGAAATTGGTTGGCTGCAAAGATTTAATTGCAGTATTTTTAAATTAAATACTTCTTTGAAAACTCATAAAGTAGTCCAGAATAAAATTTTTAACCCTTGTTATTTAAAATTTTCTATTTCTAGTCTTCCAAGAAGACTGACCCAAATTTGTAAAAAAAGACAGCTCGAAGTAAAACACCAATTTTTTTTTTAATTTTTTCTATGGTTTGGCTTTAACTACTACAAAACTGTTTTGAAAGATCTGCTTGAGATTTTTTCCAGTGCTTGGGTTTGATCACCGAATCAAAAAACTCCACCTGATTGTTTGCCTAGTTATGTTAATGATTCCCAGCCCAATGAGCTAACCTCCAAATCGCACAACCTCTTCATTAGTTTCTCAGAATGCTGCAAGACCTTTAATTCTTTTACCTCTGAATGATTCTTTTAGCAGAACTTGAAAGAAAGACTTTTTATCTCAAATATGAACAAAATTTTAATTATTTTCTCAAGTACTTCCCTGTGCCATATACATTACAGGAAATATCAGCAGGAAATCAATTTGACAGACACTAATGTTGCATGTTCATCAGTTCACCAAATTACAACAGCCATGTTATCACAATGGGCATGAATGGTTCTGGCCCTGCAGTAAACCAAGGACACCTAATGTGGTCTAATTAGGACAGCAGTACACAGAAGTAATACAGTCTTAAATGAGGGTTAGGGTGTCTTTCAGCCAGTCAGTTAAGAGGTTTTCTTTGTTGATGGGCTTTCACACACTTTCCTATGTCTTTATGGTTTCTAATATTTTTAAGAAAGGCACAAACATATCAGGTTATCTAAAAAACATCATGGATAAAAATCCTGTTGTTGTTTTGTGGTTTTGTCTTCGTTTTTCTAGCTGCTTATAAGTGGCATTTTTAAGCACTACATTTAAATTTCATGTTTACCTTATGCCAAAACATTTCCTGAGACCTGGAAATACTGTTTCCTTTTGCTGTGCAAGATGAAGCAAAATGTAAAAAGTTTTTGTTTTGTCTCCCCCTCGAAGTGTTCTTCTAGAGGTAATCTATAAAAAATGCCATCAATGAGGACCAAAGTGCACAGTAGTTGGTATTGGTGATAAAGATTACTTTTTAAAAAACAGAAGGTATAAGATACACCATTACTTCAGGAACTTTTAGAGCAAGGAAGCAGAAATGAGCTTTCAGAATATAAGGTGTTTTGGTGTGTGTTTTTTTATTCCTGCTGAACAGTAATTGTACATTTCCCTTTTCATCCTCTCTCTCTCTTTATTTCATTTTTTAATACTGCTTTATAGACAGGACTTTAGAAAGTTTTCTCAACTTTTGATTAATTTAATCTAACGTGCAGATGACTGGCATCTCAGGCATTTCTGCAGTACTGAAACTCTTTCAAAATTCCATCCACACGCATCCTCACAATGATAAAACAGAAATTCTATAAAAGTATGAAGAAAGGGACAAAACTAAACCTTTAGCTTCATATGGGATATTATTTCTTGTTGTTTTTGCTACAAAGCTGTAATTGGCCTAGTGAGATCTGATAAATGTCTTATTATAAACTTGAACATCAACTGATGGTGAAAAAAAAAATATGATGGAACTTGTGACTGAAGGAAAAGTAAAAGGGTATAAATGACTGGCAGTTCCCATTTCTTTACAAGTGTTACATTTCAGTCCCCTGCCACTACCACATGTTTCCTGTTCACAGATAATTTGTACAACATATTTTATCATTCAGTTTTAGACATAGTTGAAAGGCTTTTGCCTAAGGCTTGGAACACTTTGAAAATTGTATACCATTTGCAAGGCTTTCTTCTGCTTCGCTGTGCAATTAGGTGACTGCCTTTCTGTAGACACTGGATTTATCATATGTGGAATTGGTTTTTTTCACCAAGGTGAACTGGGAACAAAAATGCAAGTATTTTTTCAGTAACCCACAGACAAGGGATTAGTGTGCTGGCACAAAGCTTGAAGGCTGCCTGTCAGTCCCAAACTGGACGCCGTTCCCTCACAGAAGGAGTATTGTAAGCCACAAAGTTTCATACATAAATACTCTGCCACCCGCTCTTACACACCCTGTCTATATGTGATTTAAACTTCTAAGGTGCAACAAGAGCATCCGACCAAAATAATATTTTTTTCTCTAATTTTCTAATCCAACTATTTATGGCACTGTTGATTATTTTCTTCCCTTCCTTCAACCCCCCCTCCTCCCCCTCACTCACTTTTCTCCCCCACCCCTCCCCAGCTCGGTCTCCACTAAACTTTGCTCTCGTCTGAAGTGTGAAGATACTGATGTGCTAAGAGCTTCCCCTGCTGGAAGTTCCTAGCAAGAGGTGCTGTAGTCAAGTAGGGATGGATCTGGGACTAGCTCCCAGTTCAGCTAATTTATGTGCTCAGTTCCTGTCAAGCAGAGAGTACATAATGTGACTTGAGATGCTGATTAAATTTCATGTGTATTTCTATGTTCTAAATAAACCAAATTTTAAAGTCAGATTTGAGCAATGGTAGTTTATAACTCTCATTACAGCAGTTTGCATTTTTCCACTGAATTCTGTGAGGAAAAAGGAGATAAATTCAGGCCTTTTGTATAATGTATCTACGTGCTTTTACAAGGTCATCTTCCCTTCCAGTAGAGGATCTGGAGGATTCCTTAACAAGTAAACCTTATCTATTTAAATCATGTCATTGTTTAATGCGAATCAAATTGTGAATTAATTCTTTGCTTTTGGTTGCAGACCAAACTTGTGGAAACTGTGAGAGTGTAAGTGCGTAAGCGAGCCGCAAGGAACACTTGTATCATATAGCATAATTCCATTGGAAGAAAGGTGTATTTCTTCAGACTACATGTCTTTCTTAGGCAGTGACTGCCTAAGTGCCGCTTCTGAAAGCTTCTAAAAAGCTGCATTTTTGAAATCAAAACTAAGAGAATTTCAATCTAATTTTTTAGATATCCATCTTAGAAATACCTTGCTGCAAATACCTTAGCTGTTTTTTTGAGTGCAAGGCACAATATTATTACTTAAATAGTGTAAATGCACTATATATACCTCTGATAGACTGTGCTGGAAACATGGCCACTGTTTGCACAGTGTGACTGAGCAGGCAGGATTGTCTTGACCACTCTGTAAGGTCTCTCTGCCTTTGCATAGGCCAGGGATGTGACTTTGGCATATATTGTTTCCTTGGTCACACCCATCTCTGTTGATTTTGTCTGGTTAGATTATAAAGGTTTTCTGGGGCACAGATTGACTCAGTGGTTTGAAAGCTCCTCAGTGTTCTGAAGCAGGTGGCACAATGGATGGATTAGTGTGGTATTTCCCCTGTGATGGTACACCCCAACCTGCAGGGCTTTGAAGTGAGATTGCAGCAGTCTAAGAGGTTACTTAGAAGTCTTCACTCTGCCAAAGCACCTCTACTCCTACCTGAATTACCAGGCTCACCTGGGGATGTATTTTGTATCCTACTGAATCATAGGTATTTGGGGCAGTATAAGAGAAACCTTGTTCTGTCTAGCTGTAGCCTAGGGAGAACTGAGTCACAGCAGAGCTGCCTAAGTGTGTTTGAATCAGCAAATATTTGGAGAGCTCCAGAACTCCCACCATCTGTACACATGCAGATACACAAGTAGATGGAAAGCTTCCAAAGGAAGTTCCCTTTCAATCCCCATAAAATGCCCTAGACCCAGCCAGCAACTTGAGCAAAAGGAACAGAGGATTTCCTTTAAATTCTCTACCTTGCTTAATTTAATCTGCTGCCTGGTAGAAGACTCAAAAAGGTTACCAAAAAAAAAAAAAAGGCACTGGGTCATGGGATTTCCCAATCCAAATGTAATGATAAACCCAGACTGACTCCCTTCTTTCTGTGCTATCCATTGTGCTTTGTCCCAAATGGGAAATATGGTTTGCCAACACAGAGGCAGCATACACTGTAAACAATGACAAGAATAAAGCTAAATATTATGCATACTCATTGCATGCAATCCTAAACACAAACATCCCCACTGAGGAAAACAGA